TAAATATCATTTATGTTAAATAAATTTCTGTAGAGCAAAAGTTTGTTTGGATCTTAACAATAACTTTCTGATTAGAAATGTGATGTATAAACACTATTTTCTTACTCATTGATACTTTGAATTTAAAAAACAGAGGCTTACTCAAGCTAGTTGACTAAAGTGGTGTGTGTGTGTGCGCATGTGTGTATGTGTGTGTGTGTGTGTGTATGTGTAAGACTGTAGAAAGAATACAAAGATTGTAGAAAGAATAGAAAGAATCAGGCAGTCTCTCATGGTCATCCAAGAACAGAAACAAGGCACACAGGGATTGGAACAAGAAAGTCAGCAGCTCAGGCTGCCGCCACCCTTTCTGGTGGGCCCATGTTGCCTCAGTTATTACTTGTCTCTGAGTGTAAGCTACTGTTACACTTCTCTTGGAAACAAGGTCTCTCTTATCACTGATGGTTTATTTGCTCCCCTGTGACTTCAGCTTAGGAATCGCTTTGGTTTGCTATGGCATTTACTCCAGCCCCAACTCTACACAACTTTTCAGAAAAGTACACCAGCATCTTACTCATTAGTCTCTGTGTTCGTTAGAGTTCTTATAACTGCAGAAGATCATAATTCAAATGAACTTAAGACAAACAGAGAATTTTTTGGCTTGGCTTGTACAATCAGAAAGGATATTGTTGGCAGGCCTCAGGCATGACTGATCCAGTCATACACAACACTGTCCAAATTCTATCTCTGTCTGTTAGCTGCATTTCCATAGATATGTGGTCCTCATGAATCCAGACAGCAGAAAGGCTCTCTCCGTGCAGCAGTGGAAGGGTGAGGCTGGGTATGGCTACTGGCAGCTCAGGGTTACGTCATCACAGTTTTAGAGCCCAGAGGAGAGAGCTTTTCCTAACTCTGCTCCAGCATGCGGATTCTAAAGGAGGGGTTCCTGGCCTGCCTTGGGTTGGATGGTCACTCTTTGGATCAGTCACTGTGGCTGGGTGATGGATATTATAATAGACCGTGTTCCCTTTCCTGAACTTTGGCTTTATATTGTGATATTATATAGTCCCATTAGAATCACATGATTTGTGGAATGGGGAAGGAGCTGCTTCCCAAAAGGGAATGAGGTAGTGGTTAGTAGAAGAAAATAAGAAAGAATGTTTAAAACAACAGGTATCTACCATAGTTTCTGTACCTCTTAGTTCAATTTCTTGAGGAAATCTGCCGCATTTATCCTGGCCTTTGGCTTAGTTTCTCCTGGGCTGTTTGCTTACCTGTGACCCAATGAGATAGGTGGCCAACTCATATGTACGAACGCTGCAGTTCGGGCTCTGGGTGGGGAACACAATGATTGACTGATCTACCACAATAATGTGAAAATAAGAAAGAATAGATCCCAGTATGCAGAAATAACCACAATTGATATTTTAGTTAATATACTTATATTCTTTTACCTATGCATTAATATGTGTCTTTAAAAAATGGGATCTGCCGGGTGTGGTGGCTCACACCTGTAATCCTAGCCCTTTGGGAGGCCGAGGCAGGTGGATCACTTGAGGTCAGGAGTTTGAGACCAGCCTGGCCAACATGACTAAACCTCCTCTCTACTAAAAATACAAAAATTAACCGGGCATAGTGGTCCATGCCTGTGCTCCCAGCAACTCAAGAGGCTGAGGCATGAGAATCACTTGACCCTAGGAGGCAGAGGTTGCAGTGAGCTGAACTGGTGCCACTGCACTCCAACCTGGGCGACAGAGCGACACTCAATCTCAAAAAAAAGAGAGGCTGAGTGCGGTGGCTCACACCTGTAATACCAGCACTTTGGGAGGCCAAGGTGGGCTGATCACCTGAGGTTGGGAGTTCGAGACCAGTTCTCCAGAGATGGAGAAACCCTGTTTCTACTAAAAATACAAAATTAGTCAGGTGTGGTGGCACATGCCTGTAATCCCAGCTACTCGGGAGGCAGAGGCAGGAGAATCGCTTGAACCCGGGAGGCGGAGGTTGCAGTGAGCCGCGATCATGCCATTGCACTCCAGCCTGGGCAACAAGAGGGAAACTCCGTCTCAAAAAACAAAACAAAACAAAACAAAACAAAACAAAAGAAAAAGAAAAGGATAATACCATTTATACTATTTTGCAACAGTCTCTTTTTACTTCAATATCTATTCTTCTACAATGTTTGTGACTTGAACTAGGGTAATGGGGATGGTGATAAGTGGTTGGATTTGACATATATGTAAAGGTGGAGCCAATGGGATTTGCTAATGAATTGGATATGAGATGTGAGAAAAAGAAATTGTTGAAATTGTTAGATACTATTGCTTATTCATGGGGGTATATGATGTGAGATTGAAATTAGAAACTTTTTGGACTAAAATTCATATATACTGAGCAACTTTTGCTTTTCCAGTTTAGGCATTATGGGGATTCCAAAATAATTTTATGGAAAAAATCCCTGTTCCCAAGGAACTTAAAAATCTGCCCAGAGGCTAAATAACCACAAATGAAATGATGAAATACATGGCAATAAAAATGAGTCACACACCACAGCATGATTGAATTTCAAAACTATAAGCTTGAGCAAAAGATGTCAGACACAAAACAAGACCTATTAGATGATTTCATTTATATGAATTTCCAAAACAGGCAAAACTAATCCATGGTGTTAGAAATCAGGATAATGGTTACCACTGGAATGTAGGGAGGGAGCTTGAGAAGGATTTCTGGGGTGCTACTACCATTCTCTTTCTTCACCTGGGTAGTGGTTACATGAGTGTGTTCACTTTATTGAGAATTCATTGAGCTTATGATTTGTATACTTTTCTATACATGTGTTATCTTTAAATTTAAAAAGGTTAAAAACGCTCCAGTTCTATACTGTGGATTCCTGATTCCAAGTGCAAGAAAAGGATATCTAAAGAGGGAGAACCCAGCTTAGGCTTGAGGAAAAGGGATAAGAATAGGGCCTACAGACTAAGCGGTGGAGGAGATGGTCCCAATGGTAAGACACTTGGGGCCTGAGTGTGAAGTCAGAAAGTGAGGGCCAGCGTGGGGCACAGTGAATAGAGTGACTCAACTGAAGTAAGAGATGCGCAGGTGATGTGTAAGATGGGAGCTGAGGCTGGGAGGTAATTCAGGGGAAACTGGGGTTAGTGGGTCTTGAGTGCCAGGCTATGCGGTGTGGGGTGTTTTCTTTAATATAGTGCAAGGTTACTGAAGTTGTGGCATATTGATCACAGTGTATTAGGATGTGGAATAGGAGGGTCCTGGGTAAATGGAGTGGTAGGGGTGGATGGAACTGTCACAGTGGGGCTGGAGAGGGGGTGGGTGGAGGACTGTATGCTGTGAGGCTGAGATAGGCCTGGGGCGTTGATCTTGGCTGGTATTCTGCTCTCAGTTCTTGTTAGTGTAGATGTTTGGGTTTGCATCCTTTCCTAAGTGGGCCTCAGGGGCATCAGACTCAGGCCTGCTGTGCAGGGACAGCTTTGTAATGTGCCCCCGAGGATTGTCCCATGTCTGGATCCTTCTCAGAAAATGCATGTTCTCACCTGAGCCAATCCCACCCCATCCCGCCCAAGTGGGGTCCAAACATGGGACTCTTCTAGAGTACGCCCCTTTCAGCCCTGACAGTGCAGAGTCTGTTTGCAGCAACGCAAGCCTCAGCGCCCAGCACAGAAGCCCAGGGCAGCTATGTGGGCAGGATATGCTGGGGGCCAGCCCCCTCTACCTAATTTAGGCCAATGTGAGTATTTCTCAATCCTCCCGCTGAACCCCTTCCAGCTTACTGACTCCTCTGTAGAGTGCAGATGGTGGAGGATAGGAAGTAGTTTCTTCATTTCCAGGAATCCTGGGCAACCGAAATTCCCGTGTAGAGAAGCATCTTCCCTTTGTCTTCACACTTTGTAGCCAACCAGATATGCTGTCCAAGGAGAGAGTAGTTGATTAAGGCAGAAGCATGGGCCTGATGAGATGTATTCCAGAGCCAGCAGGGACAGTATTCTTCCCTCTAACGTGGGATGATCAATATCTCAGTAGGGACAGGGAAGATAAGATTTGTTCTTTTCCACTATTGCAGAATAGGAGAGGTTCTAGAAAATAACAGCAATACCTGATACGGTGTTTTATGATTTCACACATCATGTGAATTATACATTGGTTCTTCACGATCCTTGGCAATGATCCATCATATGAATTATCTTATTTTCCATTTTGTGTTTCTCAACCAGGTTGTGAGAAAGATGAGGAAAAGAGCATTACCACTGCTTGTCACATGAGGATTCATGTGTGGATAATATGAAAGGGAGGCAATTTTTCCAGTCTCAAGAATGGTAAAAGGCACAGGTGGGACTTGAACCCAGACTCTTGGCTTCACGTCCAGAGTTTTCTCTATGCACCAGCTACCCCTCAGCAGGATGTGACTATCCTGTAGTAACCCTAGAGGAAGTTTACTCCTTGGGGTGCTTGGCCTGCCAGTCTCTGAAAAAAATATGATGGGGATGGTGGTGGTTGCAGTGCATGTTGGGTTGAGGGGACAGAGGAATAAGCAGGTTGATGGTTTTTGTCCATCAGGTAACACAGTGTTTCTTTTCCCATTTTCTCTGGAATCAAGAAGCAACCAGAAGATTGGACTGAGCAGAAGACTGGAGAGGGTGCAGGAAAGATGGTAGCAGGAGAGGGGAACAAAGCACCATCCAGGAGCTTAGTGGAGAGTGCTCCTTTTCTCTCCCCAACTGGATCAGATTGTGTAGACAGTCTGGGAGGTGCAGCTGGTCAATGCTTAACCCAAGGTGACTTTCTCACACACTCAGGATTAGGGCCAGAGGATTTGTAGACCTCTCCATGCTGGAATGGATGCCATACCTTGTAACTTCCTCAGCAGTTTAAAATATCCAACAGGTACCTTCCAGCTGTCTGCAACACGAGTGCACACTCGTTGGGCAAGAGGTCACAGCTAGGGCAACAATCCACATGAGTTGGGAAGGGCTCATTTCCCCTGTCAAACATTGCTGCTCTCATGTGGAATGCACTGGGGCTTTTTGGTCAAGATAATTACTGTGGAAGATCCTAGGTGGCAGCAAAGCCAGCGTGAACAGACTGAGCCATGGAGGTGGTACAAGGCGACCCCAGCCGAGGTCAGTGCAGACCAACCATTTGGCATTTGGGGGCTGGCTGGGAGCAGCAGTTCTTGTTACAATCTAAGGTGTGTATCTTTGCCTTCAGTAAGCTTCTTGATATTTCTGAAGTGAAGAAATGACTTTCCAGTGGGTGCAGTGGCGCCTTATGCAAAGATGTATTTTGAGAGTTAAATGAATTAAGTCTTCAACCCTTATCTTAGCATTTCCCGATTTGGTGACCAAGTCCAAATTCATCCTCCATACTATTCTAGATTTTATAGACTCTGCATATATCTACATTTAGTAATTGCTCGATCTCTCTCTCTCTCTCTCTGTGTGTGTGTGTGTGTGTGTGTGTGTGTGTGTGTATGTGTGTGTGTCTGCCATGCCAGCCAGCGGTCAGGGCTTCTTCTTGGGGCTGTGGCCTTTCCTCCTGTTACATTGGTTCTTTAAGATCCTTGGCAATGATCCATGCTACAATGTAGATGAACCTTAAAAAATATTACAGTAAGTGGCTCATACCTGTAATCTCAGCACTTTGGGATGCTGAGACAGGAAGATAGCTTGAGCCCAGGAGTTTGAGACCAGCCTGGGCAACATGGCAAAACCCCTATCACTATGAAAAATACAAAAATTATCCGAGCATGGTGACGTGTGCCTGTAGTCCCAGGTACTCGGGAGCCTGAGGTGGGAGGATCACTTGAGCCTGGGAGGCCGAGGTTGTAGTGAGTTATTATTGCACCACTGCACTCCAGCCTGGGTGACAGAGTGAGACCCTGTCTCAAAAAATAAAAAAAGTAAAATTATTTTCTAATTAAAAAAAAAATTAGGCCGGGCGTGGTGGCTCACGCCTGTAATCCCAGCACTTTGGGAGGCAGAGGTGGATGGATCACCTGAGGTCAGGAGGTTGAGACCAACATGGTGAAACCCTGTCTCTACTGAAAATACAAAAATTTGCTGGGTGTGGTGGCAGATGCCTGTAATCCCAGCTACTTGGGAGGCCGAGGCTGGAGAATCGCTTGAATCCAGAGGCAGAGGTTGCAGTGACCAGAGATTGCGTCATTGCACTCCAGCCTGGGTGACAAGAGTGAAACTGCATCTCAAAAAAAAAAAAAAAAAATTAGCCAGGTGTGGTGGTGTGCACCTGTAGTCCTAGCTACTTGGGGCCTGAGGCAGGAGGATCGCTTGAGCCCAGGAGTTTGGGGCTGCAGCGAGCTGTCATCATGCCGCTGCACTCCAGCCTCGCTGACAGAGCAGGACCCTGTATCTAAAAAAACCTTCAAAATAAAAATAAAGAAAATATTACAGTAAGTGAAAGAAGCTAGACACACATATGGTATGATTCATTTATATGAAATGTCCAGAAAAGGCAAGTCTATAGTCAGAAAGTAGAAAAACAGTTTCCAGGGAATGGAGGAGGGATCATTAAAATATCCTTAAATCTGCTGGGTATGGTGGCTCACGCCTGTAATCCCAGCACTTTGGGAGGTCAAGGTGGGCAGATCATGAGTTCAGGAGTTCGAGACCAGCCTGACTAATATGGTGAAACCCTGTCTCTACTAAAAATATAAAAATTAGCCGGGAGTGGTGGCAGGCACTCAGGTGGCTGAGGCAGGAGAATCGCTTGAACTCGGCAGGTGGAGGTAGCAGTGAACTGAGATCATGCCACTGCACTCCAGCTTGGGTGACAGAGTGAGACTCTATCTAAAAAAAATAAATATATATATTCTTAAGTTGATTGTGGTGTTGGACACACAGGTTTGTGAATACACTAAAAGCTATTGAATTGTATACTTTAAATGGGTGGAATGTATAGTACTTGAATTACGTCTCAGTAAAGCTGTTAAAAAGGAAAAGATCCTTGGCAATGCAAATGTGGCGAGTTGTTTGGAGAGACTGTCCATGTGCCAAGGCTACAGGAAGGTAGGGCAGCTCGTGAGGACAGGTTCTATGCAGGAGTGGCTGATACTCTGACTCAGCTTAGATAGGCAGAGGTCAACTCAGTCCTCAGGATTTCTACAGTCCTCTTCCTTTACTAGATTATTCTTGTTTTTCCAAGTCCAATCCATATTCTTCTTAGTCACTGGTAATTACGTGGCCTCTACTATCCAGAGTCCCTCCTAGATATCTAAGCCCTATTTGACCTTGTCCCTGGAATCTATCAGTTTTCCTGGTAGTTAGTTTGCTTTCCAGACTAATGGCCCAGGACAAATAGCCATGAAAAAACTTTGCCATCCCTTAATTTTTCCTCTGTTTCTGTGATTTCCCTGAAATCAGGTTTCTTCACATCTCTTTTAGACCTTTCCTTCTTTCTTTCTTTCTTTCTTTCTTTCTTTCTTTCTTTCTTTCTTTCTTTCTTTCTTTCTTTCTTTCTTTCTTTCTTTCTCTCTCTCTCTTTCTTTCTTTCTTTCTAGATGGAGTCTCCTGAGTAGCTGGGACTACAGGCGCCCGCCACCTCACCCGGCTAGTTTTTTGTATTTTTTAGTAGAGACGGGGTTTCACCGGGTTATCCAGGATGGTCTCGATCTCTTGACCTTGTGATCCACCCGTCTCGGCCTCCCAAAGTGCTGGGATTACAGGCTTGAGCCACCACGCCTGGCCCCTTCCTTCCTTCCTTCCTTCCTTCCTTCCTTCCTTCCTTTTTCTTTCTTTTTTTCTTTCTCTCTCTTTCTTTTCTTTCTTTCTCTCTCTTTCCTTCCTCCCTCTCTCCCACCTTTCCTTCCCCTCATTCCATTCCCTTCCTTTCTCCTTTTCATCCCTCCCTCCCTCTCTCTTTTCCCTCCCTCCCCCTCTCCCCCTTCTCTATACATATTCTTGTTTGTCTCCTGGGGCATATGTGCAAGTTTTTCTACCTAGGAGTAGAATTATTGGGTCACAGAGTATGTGAATGTTCATCTTTACAAGGTCATGACAAATTATTTTCCAAAGCAGTTATATAAGTTTACACTCCCACTAGCAGTGTAAACTTTTTAAGGCTCTACATCCTCGTCGACACTTGTTATTGTCATATTTTTGCTTCTTGACAATATAGTGGATATAAAATTGTATCTTGCTAGTGTCTTAATTTGTATTTCCCTAATTACTAATGAGCTCAAGCATCTTTTTGTACATTTATTAGCTATGTTTCTTTCCTCTTTAATGGAGTTCAGGTAGCATGTTTGGCCCATCTTTTTATTGGATTGCTTATCTATTTCTTACTGCGTTGTATGCATCAAAATATTAATTACGTGAGTACTAAAGTTTGTCCATTATCTGTGGCATAAATATGTTCTTCCTGTTTGTGGTTTTCCTTTAACTTTATTTGAAGGATCTTTTAATAAATAGAAATTCTTCATTTTAACGTAGCTTAATTTATTAATATTTTCTTTTCTGTGTAGCACTATTTTGGGTCTTATTTAGTAGATTCTTTTCTACTCTGAGGCCAAAACAACATTCTTCTAGCTTTTCTTCTAAAAGTTTTGATTTTTACATGTAAGTGTTTTGTCCATCTGGAGTGGATGTTAGTGTCTGACATGAGATTGGAAATCAATTTTACTTTTTCCCCTGAGGACAAGCATCAGTACTAGCTTCTTTCACTTCTGACACATATCACTGCTCCACATCTGTGTGGGTCTGTTTCTTGGCTCTGTATGTTGTTCCATGGGTCATTTTTATGTATATTTGTGCCAATACCATCTTGCCTTAATCATTCCAATTTTATAAGTCTTGATATCTGCCAACGCGAGCCCCTTCCCTAACTTTCTTCTTCAGCAATGTCTTCTTGGCTACTCTAGGACGTTTGCTAATTTACATCTCTCCCCCAAAATGGCATCACAATGGTGTCAGTACAAGTTTATAACTTGTTTTAAAAACACTTTTAAAGCCTAATAATAATAAATAAATAATGCTTAAAATAATGCTTTAAAACTTAATCATACATTTTGAATGTTTTGTCATTTATATGTTACTGTAAAATGTAGTTTTTAATGGCTACATAATGTGTTCTTTCTTAAAGGTACCATAATTTGTTTATTTCATCCCCCATTTCTGGATATTAAAGTTGTTGCCAAATTTTCATTATTGTAAAAAATTCTGTGGTGAATATTCTTGTGGCAAAATCTTTTTAACATATCCATGACTACTTCCTCAGGATGGAAGTACAATTTCTGAATCTAAGAATTTGCTTAATTTTAAGGTTTTCGATACACATCGCCAAATTATCTTTTGGAAAGTTCGTATGAACTCTGTGACAGTGTAGGTCTCAGGACACCCTCGTTAACAGTGTACATTATTATCTTCAAAAACCTTGTCCATTTTGATAGGCAAATAATTGAAAGCCAAGCTAAACTTGGATTACATGTCTAACTGGCAGTCCTCATATTCTGTGTTCATATTTTTCTAGTGAGCACCATGGGGTTTCATACACTGAACACTCTCCTAAGTGTTACCTCTCTTTGTTCTGTTAGAAGAATTGAGCCAGGCCCACCAGGCCCGTGGGGAACTGGACTGCAGTGGTGACTGAGTTTGTTCTGCTGGGGTTTTCCCTGAGCAGGGAGGCGGAGCTGCTGTTCCTGGTGCTCCTGCTGCCCACGTTCCTGCTGACTCTTCTGGGGAACCTGCTCATCATCTCCACTGTGCTGTCCTGCTCCCGCCTCCACACCCCCATGTGCTTTTTCTTGTGCAACCTCTCTATCCTGGACATCGTCTTCACCTCAGTCATCTCTCCAAAAGTGTTGGCCAACTTAGGATCTGGAGATAAAACCATCTCCTTCGCCGGATGTATCATCCGGTGCTATTTCTATTTTTCCTTGGGCACAGTTGAGTTCCTCCTGCTGACAGTCATGTCCTATGACCGCTATGCCGCCATCTGCTCCCCTCTGAGGTACACCGCCATCATGAGACCTCCTGTCTGCATTGAGACCGTTGTGTTCTCTTGGGTGGGAGGCTTCCTGTCTGTGCTCTTTCCAACCATCCCCATCTCCCAGCTGGACCCTTGCTGGCCCTGGCCTGTGCAGACACCACTGCCATCGAGCTGATGGATTTTATGCTTTCTTCCATGGTCATTCTCTGCTGCATAGTCCTCGCGGCCTATTCCTCTACATACATCATCTTGGCAATAGTGCCCATTCCTTCTGCAAGTGGAAGGAAGAAGGCCTTTAATACCTGCGCTTTCCACCTGGCCATAGTCATCATTTCTAGTGGTATCACTGTGTGTATCTTTGTGACTCCCTCCCCGAAAGAATATCTGGAGATCAACAAGATCCCTTCAGTTCTGAGCAGTGTGATGACTCCATTCCTCAATCCCTTTATATGTACTCTGAGGAATGACGCCATGCAGGGAGTCCTCAGGGATACGTGCGTCAGGGTTTGAGGAGTTTTAGAAAAGAGGATGAGGGCAGTGCTGAGGAGCAGATTGTCCTCCAACAAAGACCACCAAGGAGGGGCTTGCTCTTCTCCACCATGTATGTATTGTGTAAAGCTCCAGTGTTAGAAAGAGAGGAGCTGCCTTAGTGGAAGAGTGAGCTAGCTATAGTCTACAGTGGAAAGACTGACTGTGGAGACAGAGACTTGAACTCTGGCCTTGGTTTTAACTTTAATCTGTGACCGCAGCTGTGTCACCAGCCATTCTGACTCTCAGTACTCTCAGCTGAAGTGCAACAGGGCTGGACTTGATGATCTCTAAGACCTATCCACAATGGATATTGTAAGAATTGAAGGGCCATGCAGTCTATTTCCTCCTAAAGTCCTAACACGTTTGGCCCCACTTCTTTATGGATCCCGAACACAACTGTTCTATCAGCTTGACACAAAGTCCTTCCTGAACTTCTCTGCACGGACCCTCTTTCTTTCCATCCTCTGCAGGATCTTTTTAGAAATAACCTTCATTATTCTCTAATCCACTATCATATCCTGTAATCCATTTTTTTTCTTAGTGGGCATTCGCAATGATTATGATGGGTGTATGTCATCTGTGTTATTTAATAATATTGCTTTCTGTAATAGAACATGTTCATAATATCCAATATGCTTGTGTTCTTATGTAAGACATGGCCCTGTTCCTGTAGCCACTAATGATTGATCCATGGATGGATAATCTGACCGAAGGCATAACCCATCACCTGCAGGGATACTTACGCACCTAAGAGACTGGCCAATGACCTACGACCTGTGTGGCTTGGCTGGACCAGATGAGCTGTGCAAACAGATAACCCCTTTTTTGAGAAATTGAAGCAAAAAACACAGAGATTATTCCACACAAGGGCGATGTTTCCCCTGGAAGCAGAAATAGGCTTGGTGGCTGGAGTGGCCACTTTGGTGCCAGGTACAAGCTGATGAGTAGTTAGAGGAAACCAGTCTGCCCCTCAGAGAGAATGGAGTTGATGTATAGAGAAAAACACAGAAGAGACAGATGACAGCCCACTCAGTTGCAGAGGCACAACACAAAGAGCCCTCTTCTCTCATGGCTTCCTAGGCCTGGAGCTGGTAGAGTTTTGATTCCTCTTCCTGGATTTGATGTGTTTTGCCTGTACCTGTAAATCAAATCCCTTTTTATTGAGCCATCTTGAGAAGGCCTTAGATTCTTGTGACCAAAAAGCAGCTTGACTACAAAGTTCATTATCTCTCCACCAAGCATAGCTTCTCCCCTTTTCTGGCTCCATACACCTGGAAAGAATCTGTTTTGGGCCAGGTGCAGTGGCTCAAGCCTGTAATCCCAGCACTTTGGGAGGCCGAGACGGGCGGATCACGAGGTCAGGAGATCGAGACCATCCTGGCTAACACGGTGAAATCCCATCTCTACTAAAAAAAATACAAAAAACTAGCTGGGTGAGGTGGTGGGCGCCTGTAGTCCCAGCTACTCGGGAGGCTGAGGCAGGAGAATGGCCTGAACCTGGGAGGCGGAGCTTGCAGTGAGCCCAGATTGCGCCACTGCACTCCAGCCTGGGCGACAGCAGAGCGAGACTCCATCTCAAAAAAAAAAAGAAAATAAAAGAATCTGTTTTGTTTTGTTTTTTGTTTGAGATGGAGTCTTGCTCTGACACCCAGGATGGAGTACAGTGGCGCAATCTCGGCTCACTGCAACCTCTGCCTCCTAGGTTCAAGTGATTCTCCTGCCTCAGCCTCCTGAGTAGCTGGGACCACAGGCACGTGCCACCATGCCCGGATAATTTTTGTATTTTTAGTAGAGATTGGGTTTCACTGTGTTAGCCAGGATGGTCTCGATCTCCTGACCTCGTGATCTGCCCACCTCAGTCTCCCAAAGTGCTGGGATTACAGGCATGAGCCACTGCGCCCAGCCAAGAATGTGTTTTTAACTGCACTCCTAATCTGAATTCTTGGTGCCCAAACACTGCCTGGGATGCTTAACTGGCTCCCCACTCTGGGCCTATGGTTCAGCTCAGTGCAAACCAGCTTTTCAATGTCATCAGAATCTCTGAGGCTTAATTTCTTGTCCTGCTTGGCCACCAGTGCTGCAGCATCCAGTTTGCTAAATTAACCCCTATGCTCTGCGTGGAACTGGTCAGAAGGACATATGCATACCTCAGGAACTGCTGCAGCGTTCTGTGGACATAAATGAAGACCAGTCAAATGAGCACAGATACCACTTATTCAGAGCTGGCTATACAGGGGAGTCAGCCACCATCATTTGCCTTTGGCAGAGAGTCAAAGGCAGGCAGGTGAGTGGAAAGCTTCATAGTAGAAAAAACAGGGAAGGTCCGGGTATTCACTGACTAGAGGGTTTTGGCATGGGGAGCTGGAGGTGAGCTAACTAGAAGCAGGACATCTTAGGGGATTGGTTTGGGAAGCATATTTGGCTTTCTGTGATTGGTCTTGAATTGGAAAGAAGTGTGGAAGGGGAGGGGGCTTCAGAAATCAGGAAAGTGGGCAGTCACGAACAAGTCTTGTCCATTCTGGGCCAAGTGCTTCAGAGGTTTGGTTGTGGTTTGGCTTCCCTCGAGGGTCCCTTTGGAGTTTCTGAGTCAGAGTTCTGTTGTCATATATGATCTGGCTGTTGTCCACTTTTATATTCAGTCTCTCAGTTCTTACAACCTTGAAATTTCATATAACATTTTAAAGTCTAAGCAGAAGGACAGTCCTCCCAAAGTGGAAAACCAGATCCCGTGAGAACAGATGATGAAAGGTGAGTTCAGGTAAATGGAGCGTTGTTGGGGGTTTGCAGGCCAGGAATGGGAGCTGTAGAAACTGAGGATGTCTTGCATGTGCCAAAGACTCTGCTTCTTTGAGTGGACCCCAAGCCCCAAGATTTAGACTCTTTGGCTAGTAGGGCTTGTGAGGACACCTTGTGCCTCTAGAGGAAGCCCACTGTTACCGTACATCTGGCAAAGCAGTTAGACTGTGAGGCCCAGTCTTCTGTGGAGACTTCTATGAGTCTCTAGGATCAGATTAGGGGAGAGGAAGAAGCTAGACTTCGGTGTTTCCCTGTGTAGGACTCTGAGATGGCCTCAGAACTCATGCTCTCTCTACCAGCAATGTTTCACTGAAAACATTTGGGGACTCATAGACTCTCTCAGAAGTCTTTCAAACCACTGACCAAAAGCTTCTAAGTTTGGATTTAAAACCAGCAACATACGTCCAAGTTTCCGTTGGTGAACCCTTAGCCTAGCAGTTCCATTCTCAGCCCACAGCAAACACTTCCTTCTTATGGGCCTTTCCATGCCTTGTGGGGTTGGTGTGTTTGTCTGTCTTTGTCAGGGGTGGCAAATACTTGAGTCTCACAGTACCAAATATGTTAGCCGTGGAAGGCGTCTGAGCTACCAGAGACGAATCCATACGGGTGTGCAGCAACCTCAAGTCTTGCCTCCTCAGAAGAAAGAATTTGACTGAGGGGCATAAGATGGAAAAAGAGACCATGGGAAGTTTCAGAGCAGGGGTGGAAGTTTATTTTAAAAGGCTTTAGAGCAGCAAAGAGAGGAAAGTATGCTTGGAAGAGACCCAAGCGGGCACCGAGGTAAAGTGCAGTGTGTAACCTTGATCCTAGGACTTTATAGGCTGGCCCCTTTCCCATGATTCTTCCCTTAGGGTGTGCTGCCTGCATGTGCAATGCCCCCCTTACTCTTGGGAAGTGAGCATACACAGCATGTTTAGGAAGTTGTACCCACGCCCATCTGAGGCTTTCTTCCCTTTTCCGGTGGAGTGTCCCTGGAAGGTCATACTCCGCCATTTTGTCTCTTAATGTGCATGCCCAGAAAGTTGCTTCTTCCTGGCATCTGCATTCAATTAACACTTTAGTGCAACAGGTGTGAACCCTCAGGATAATGGCCTCTCCCTGGCTGCCAATTTATCACTTTTAGAGAGGCAATGTGACAAACGCCGAACCATCACCTGACATTCCCAGTGGGTGGGGGATAGCCTTCTCCTGCCCTGCTCATGCCTAACTACCTGTAACATCTTCCCCAAGAAATAGCAAATCCCTTTCAGTGCAGACGATTGGATGATATTAGTTTGGGGGTCTCCTACCCTTTCTCCCAGAAACCTACATCAGTGTTTCACACACCAGATATGCTAAGTATTTACTAAATAAAGTGAAAATATGTGCAGTTTAGCAAGAGTCCTTTTTGAAAATGTAAATTTTAGCTTGGATTTGGGTTGGAGTATTCCCACTAAATAAAGCAGTTCAGCCCCTTAGAAAGGAGGAAGAAGCCTGCAGGCACCGGGAGGACCCTCTGAGGGGCAGTGAGCATCAGGAAATGAAAATGGGTTCAGATACAGGGAAAGGGGCATGAGGGCAAAGTTCATCGGCTTGCACACTTTGCCTTAGCTGTCTGTACTTGCTCCCACTTCTACACTCATTCTAGTTCCAAGACCAAATGGGAGGTAGCTTCTGCTGTAAACTCCTTAGAAAACAGAGGCTTAAAGATGGCCAGTGGTCCAGTCCCAGAAAGTCTGGGGATTGGGGGAGCATGTCAAAGTGTCACAGACCTCTCTAGTCTATGACATGATTTTTATTCTTTAATATATCTGTGGCCTCCACAGCCTGCATCTGCCTGTGGCCTTCATTTACTCTCCCAGTGGCTTCAGAGAGTTTCTCCAGGATGCAGCTGGCAGAATCTAGGCGGCCGGGGGTGGCCTTGGCTTCTGAAGGTATGCAAGGGGGTCTGGCACTCTGTAACTGTTGGGAAATAGAATTAAAAACAAAATCTATCCCCAGCTCAGAAAACTGGCCCACAAAGGTTGAAAAGAAATAAAACAGTTTTATTATTGAATAAGCATTGAACCAGAATATAATGCTCATCACAGGCAATCTTCTAAAAAGATTGCAAAGACAGAAATAAACGTCACCGGGCCGGGCGCGGTGGCTCAAGCCTGTAATCCCAGCACTTTGGGAGGCCGAGACGGGCGGATCACGAGGTCAGGAGATCGAGACCATCCTGGCTAACCCGGTGAAACCTCGTCTCTACTAAAAAAATACAAAAAACTAGCTGGGCAAGATGGCGGGCGCCTGTAGTCCCAGCAACTCGGGAGGCTGAGGCA